TGTTAGTTAACAAGTGCGTACTAGTGTTAGCTGCTAGCTACTTAGTAGATCCTGGTTGCGCTCTACCGGCATCTCAACGAGGCAGGTCGAGACGATTCTGTGAACCCTGTCACCGATCTTTAACACTATTAAAGATGATGGTTTCACACTAAATCACCACTTTCGACCGTTATTGCGTCGGCGCCAACGTCCACGGACCAGCATGAGCCACTGGACGGCGATCAACCCCGTAGGCCAGAGCCCGTCGCCGGCGCCGATCAAGCGCGTCCGCGAGGCCGGCCGAGCGCCATCGACGCCTGATGGCGATGCATCTCCGCCACCATCGCCTCGGAAGAAGCGCAGCAAGCGAAGCCTCATGGAGACCGAGGAAGCGCTTGAGGCCCGCTTGACGGCCTCGTACGAGAAGACTTTGCAGTCGCATGCTACGCCCGCGGTACATCGACGCATGCGATTCTATGCGTCATCGCTCGATGCTGGCGTAGGTGGCGACAAGCATGTACGTGGAGATCTTGCAGTTCATCGCCTCGCTCGACGACATGGGCGCGCTCTCGACGACGACCCGCAAGATCCAGTACCTCTGTCTTAAGAACCTCGCGCGTCTCGAAGTCAAGAGCGACCCGAACGCGACCGAGCGCGCGCTGCAGCACTACGCCGACGTACTTTCATCTCCCGAACCCATGAACTCTCGAGCTGGTCCATTAGGCCTTGGACTTGGACACGACGGATTGCATGGTGTGGTACGAAGCTGGCTGCGTCGCTTTCCAGCTGCAGCAGTACGCTCCTTCCATGATTCTTTAATTCCGCCCATCATGACCATGGTCTTAGGTTTGGCCTCGCGCGCGCGTACCTCGAGGAAGCATTTGCGCTCGACGCTTGCTTCTGGCCCATGGTCTACAAGCTTGTGCTCGTCCTGTACGTCTTGCAAGGTAGACGCATCCCGTGGGGATCCTTCATCATACAAAGTGCATGGCGTAGATGAAGCCGAGTGTTTGCGCTTGGTCAAACACGTGCTCGCCCACGACGCCAAGCACCCCGTGGCTACGTACCTCGAAGCCAAGCTCTCAGGCCAGACCAGTACTACAATGCCATGTCCAGCAAGCGTCGTAGCTGCCGAGGCGCAGCGTGCTCATACCCACACGCAGCTCCCGGTTCCGCGCCATTCAAACGTCTTGGCGTACACGCTCCATGACAACTCGTGGGCATCGCTCGGCGCATTGCTCTTGGAGCTCTTTGACGAAGCACATGGGTCGATCGATGACGCGTCGCCCTCGATGCAGCAACCGATTGTGATCTTGCCCGCTCCCGCCGCCGCCCCGGTGGTGGTTCCATCACCCGTTAAAGCCGAGGTGATTGCGAGTATTGTGATAACCGCGCCGTCGGTGCCGGAAGTCATCGACATTAGCGATGACGACGACGACGACGATGTGGTCATCGTCGAAGCCATTTCCGCGCCGGACGCGGGCGCGCCTGCTGCCAAGCCACTTTGCGCGGGCGTCGCGAGCCTGCGCAAGTCGAGTGACACGGACCCTGCGTCACCGGCGACGCAGAGCCGGCGGACGTCGCACCGAACGCAGAAGCGCATGCAGGACGAGATCGAAGCCGCGATCAAAGAAGCCAAAGAGAAGGACATTGCTTACCAACTCCTCGTATTAAATAGTGTACGGCCGCAGTTCTAACAAGTGTACCCTAGTCGTTTATTGACAAGGACACGGACGCGGCCGTGACGCACGATGCGTCGATATACGACACGTGTGTGCGCGCCGAGATGGCGCTGGATGGATCTGCGCTGCGCTTCTTCCGTGGGTCCCATGAAGAAGCGACGCTGGAGCTCGCACCGGCAGTGGCCAAAGTACGTTTCCGTTGAACAACCGACCGAGTCTCACACGCTGTTAGGAGCTGCTTCCGTCGCCCCTGTCGTCGCCGCTGCCAGACGAGGACGCATTGGCAGTGCTGGCGCTGTCGGTCGAAGGCTTTCTTGGCAGTCTCTCGGGCACCAAAGGGTACGTGTCACGAGGAGAGGTCGTGCGATAGTATCAAGATTGTATCAACCTAGCCACTCACTCGAGGCGCTCATGGTTGAGTTTCTGGACGCTGTCGCGCAGCACCCTAATGTCGCCTTGGGCAACGACCTCCTCCGCATCGTGCGCCTGATGGATTGTTGCCTCCGCGATGCGCCCGACACCCGGCCTGTCCTGTCATCCCGTACACTAAGTCATGTGTCGTTGCGTAGCTCATGTATACAATATGTAGCGGCCATACATCTCTCGCTCTCGTGTCAGCTCTTTCTTCTGGAGCTCCAAGTCGACGCGCTCATTGCCGGGTACGACCCGCTCACGCACAGTCGCGTCGAGTTTTTTGCGGCACTGCAACGCCAACAGCAGCATTTGCATCGCTGGAAGCTCGACTGTTGCGACACGGCAAGCGACGCCCTGGACACGACGCTGGACTTGCGCTTTCTTTGGCTGCAAATCCACTTGGATGAGCACCTCGGACATGTCGACGCGGTGCTGGATGCGCTCGAGGCGCTGCTAACACTCCTCGGCTCGACGGTTCTAGCACTGGGGAATGTCGCAACGTTTCCGCGCCTCTCCCGGTCCGCTGTTGAGCGCAAGCTTCAGAAACAAGCGCTCACCGTTCTCGCCAAGCAAGTGTGCGACCGGTTCGCTGTCGTGGTAGTCTCGGATGCGCTGCCAAGAGGAGTCATGACGCGATGATCGACGTAGGACCCGTCGTCCACGACGGTCGAGACGGAGATTGTGGACTTGGTTTTGCCGCACTACGACCCGCGAGCTCGCAAGGGCAGTCGCGTCGAGGACCTCGTGCTGCAGTTTCGGCTCTACCTTGTACGTGTTTGCCTCTTGAACACGTATATTCACCCGTGATTGTGTAGCTTCAGATGTACGACTTGAAAATGACCACGTCGCCGCTGGCCAAGCCGGCGCCGCCGCTTCTCACGATGCTCATCAAGTGTCTCGTGCGCCTCGAGCGCTATGAAGTGTGCTACGAACTGCTCTGTTTGAGCTGGTACTACATTCTCCAGCACCAAGTACACACATCTCCTCCAAGGACACGAGTTGCATGGGCGCTATGTTAGGCAACGACGACCGACAAGACGACGGTCCAGTGCCTCAAGTACGTCACGTCGCAGCTCCAGACAGTGTTTGCCAAGAAGCCGTACATGACGCCCGTGTATGTGCTGCTGCATCAAGTGTGCGCGTTTCAGTGCCGCGATTTCATGCTGCGCCACTTTCACTCGTCGAGTCTGCTGAGCATCCTCGCGCAGACGCTGCCAAGCGCACATGTCCCGGCTCTTGTGGGCAAGATCCTGCACCAGCTCACGTCGATCGACCTCCGGAAGCGAGGCAACACGTCGCTTCTGGCACTCTCGCTGAGCGCGCTCCAGCTCTTGTACCAGCACCTCAAGGCTATGGACGCCAGTACCACGATCCCGCCCGCGCTGGCCAAAGCGCTGAGCAGCGCGATCGCCGTGTACCTCAAGACCCAGATTGAGGCCGGCAAGTTCCGCGCCCAGTCCCGGTACACAAATTCTTTGTGATAACGGAATTTCTCATCAAAAGAGGGACGTAGGCAACTGCTCTACGCGTCGTGCACGTCATTTCTGCTGCTCTGGCAGTACTTGGACGACGGCAGTACGCTTCAAGATGGCATTCAGATGACCGAGCTTCTGCACGATCTTTTGACGAGTGGCGACGGGCTCGAAGACCACGGCATGTGTGGCCTCGACGGCGACCGGACGTTCCTTCTCACCACACGGCAGATCTTGACGAAGATTCAGGAAAAGGCCGAGAAGTCGGACGAGGCGCTCATTGAGGACCTGGAGGAGGCGCTTGCGCAGTGCTACTGCTGCCTTTACGGCTACGCGCTTTTGCCATCGTGCGTCGAGCACATACCCAAGGAAGGCAAGAAACCGACGCCCAAGTGCGCCGACGACATGCTGGCGCTGCTGTCGTTCGCACAGTCGCTCGACCCAAAGCACTGCACTCGAAAAGAGTGCTACGCGCTCTACAAGGACGTGCTGGCGCTGCCCGAGACGGCCGAGATGATGAAGACGAGCCCTTTTGGTACTTCATCCTCTTTCTTCTTGGTGAAATCACTCTTGATCTCGTAGATATCCACGCGATTGGTGGCTATGTCAACCCCGTCGCATCGGCTGACGTGCATGTCAAGCTGCCGCCGATCGCAGCCGCCATGAACGCACCGACACCGGACGCGACGCCGGTCAGCAATCTCTGGTTCCTCCTGGCGACGACGATGCCTTTTCCGAAATGCAAGCGCCGCGGAAAGGACTACACCGTCCTCCTCGAGTACGAGCAGTACTGTCTCCAGTACATGCAGTACCTCCGGCGCGACGTCCGCGTGCACCCGCAGCGTGCCGAAGCCTACGAGCTCCTCGCCCAGAGCGCCAAGACGCTCCGTGCGCTCGTGGTCGACCATATGAACGTGGTCTGGTCCAACCACTTCGTGCTCCAGCCACTTCCTTTGCAGCGTACGATCCTGCTTGAGGCCGGTGTCCAGCCCACGTTTGATGAGATCTCGGGGACGCCGTACTTCCAGCACGTTTTGCAGTGGACCGACGCGGTCGATAAGACACTGCCCGACGACGTGGCCTCGCTCACGCCCAAGTCGCGCTTGTTTCTGCAACAGTACACGCAGTACACGGCTGTGCTGGCCGAGCTTGCGTTGCGCTCCATGGACATGGCAGCCGAGCTCGACCCGGCAGCGCATCGTATCGAGTGCAGCGAAGACAGTGGTTTTTTGCTGTATACGCGGCTGTCGGAGCACCAACTTGCCAACGCCGAAGCGGTTCGTGTCGCCGAGGCCGCCAGCCGGTACTTTAAGAGCGCTCTCGCCGATGCAGCGTGCTCGCCAGTGACGACGCTGCGTGTGTACTACATGCTCGGAAAGCTCGGAAAGAAGGTGTTGAAGCTGCACAATGAACGCCACCTTGCGTCGTCGTGGCGGTCAGTGCTCGAGTCATTTGCGACCGCAGACAAGGCGCGCGTCGATGACGACGCCGACGAGTACCTCGTCCACGCCTTTCACCAGCTCCACGCGACACGCCTCAAGCTGCTGCTCGCACCGGTATCTTGTCTGTTGGAGCGATATATTGTCATTTGCGTTGCAGGTGTTGGAGCGATGTACGCCGGCGACAGCACCCGAGCTTCGCCACGCGCCGCTGCCGCGCCTTGACGACGCCTTGCCGTCCGCCGAGATGCTGGCGGTGATCGAAGCGTTTGCGTATGAAAAGGATGACGGGGCCCCGGTGGTTCTCGAGACGGACCCGCGCAAGCGCTTCCAAGCTGCGCTGGAGAACTGCGTCTTGGCCCTCGAGGTCGCGCCGCAAGAAGACAAGTACTTTCACCCGGCGTACTTTAGCCTTGCCCGGGGAGTCTTTTTTGCTGGTGCGATCGTTGAGGACGAGACCAAGTACGGGGCCGCCGCCGCGCTCAAGGCGATGAAGCCTCTCTTTGACAAGAAGCGGTCGCAGATCGTCTCGGTGTGGCTCTCCGAGTCGGACACGCACAAGCTCGACGAGCTGCACCAGACGCAAGCTGCGTACGACAAGCTCCGGCTCAAGTACCACCAGTTTTACATGCACTTGCTCACGGCCGGCGGCGATTATGCGGTATGTTGATTGATGCCAAGGACATTGATTGACCATATGTGTAGCGCATCTGTGAGATTACCAACTGGATCACGAGCAGCAAGGAAGAACATTGGGTGCTCGATGCAATGTTGGCGCAGGCACTCGTCGCCCGGAGCTACCTCGCGCGCGGTCGCGTGCTCGACATGTACATGAAGTGCCTCTTTCCGCAAAGCGACGATGAACCCGCGTCTGCCAAGGCCGTCGCGCACCTGCACCGCATGTACGGCGTCTATATGGAGTCGCAAGACGCGTGGCAACGCGCACGTCCGTACAACTTCGGGTACGATCGAGCTCCAGGGTGTTGGCGTTCTGATCAAATCTAGGTCGAGCATGGGCAGCTGGCTCTGGGAGGTGACCATGGCGTACGCATTGGCCCAAGCATCATTGATCGAGTCAGGCGCGGACCTGCTCGGCGTCGTGGCCGTTGCGCATGTCAAGACGCACCTCGACACGCGGGACCCGTTGATGACGAACGAAACGAGCCTCCTGAGACTCCATCTCGAGCTCAAGATGGAAGACCGGCGCGACTGGGCCGACTTGGTGGACAATGCGCTCACGTACTGCGCGACGACGTGGCCCGAGAAGTCGAAGAGCAGCAAGTCCAAGCTGGCGACCCCCAAGACCAAGCTACACCTGGCGCTGGGGTAGTTGCTCTCTTTATTGCATCCGAGAAATGCATTGAACGCTGGTGCATTGAGCTTCGTCGACAAACGCTTGTGGGTCTCAGTATATTGCTGCTGCGGCAAGCGTCCTTGTAGCGTACTCGATGGATAGCTCTTAAGACGAAGATGCCAGCAGCACTGCCAACCAGGCTGATTCCGCTGGGCACGAGATGGTGCGGGATTCCTGGGACAGGGATTTCAAATTTGGCTCTGGCGGCAATCACACTTCACCTTTTCCTTTCTCCGTGAAGCTGCTTGCAGTCATGAGCTTGGCGACAGCAGAGAGCTTAAAAGACAGTTGCACTGTGCTCAGTGATCCAGCGCACCGCGACGAGCAGAGTGCGCAGTCGCATCCGACCGTGAGCTCGACCGACGACGCAGCAAGTGAACCTCCAGCTCTGCTGCCGAACCGAGACGGCAACTCGGACGGAGCTCTGTCGAGTGATGCACTGCGCTTGGCCAAGAAGAAAGCCAAGCAGGCCAAGAAGGCCAAGAAGAGCGTCATCTCGTGACGGACGAGCTGCGTCAAGTGGCGTTGCTCAAGGCCACCATGCCCACGCTCAACGTGCGCCACGAGCTACAGCGCTGGAACGACAAGGACATTACGATGCACGCCATCTGCCATGCGCATCAAGTACGAGGCCATGAAGCGCATGCCAGAAAATGCGCGTTGGAAGAGTGCGGACGGCAGCTACCCCGAGGCGCGAGCCAGTGGTCACGAGAAGGGCAAGGCGCCATTGTGCGACTGTTGCGGCAAGCGAGGTCGCACGTCCAACGATTGCTGGTTTCACAGAGCTGACAGCACCAACAAGGACACCAAGCGAGATCGTTCGGACGGCGAGGGGGATGATCTACGGTCCCTCAAGCGCACGAGTCAGTTCTTTGCAAAGTTGTAGCGCGATGGACGTGGTAATAATGGGCGAGGTCGCGGCGGCGGTCGAGGTCGAGGACGCCGCTAGGCACACGATCTGGTGGTCTTGAGACGAGGGAGTGCATTTTGCTTGCACTGTCTGGCGCCACCGAGTCGTCATTCATGGCTGAAGCGTCATGTCCTAAGAAAAGACAAAGATACGTATTTGACGGATTAACGCAGCAGACGCTCGAGCTGCTTTTCAAGGTCGCCAAGGGCATTGGCGTACGAGGCTGGGATGTTCGCGCACTTGAGTTTGGTGTACTTTCGGGCGAGCTTGAACTGACACTGTGCAAAAATGTACTCGCGCAGCGGAAGAAACTTGGTCACGCGAGGCAAGGCCCAGCCAGGAAAGATCGTCTCAAACTCTGTGTACGGTCGACTGCCGGTTGGAAGCTCAATGTAATCGTTCTCGACCACGCTCGTCGCACAGCTCGACTCAACCAGCTCTCTCGTTTTCACCCAAGAAACTCCGACGAGGCCTCCCGGCTGGTGGTACGTGTCATGGAGCGCATCGTCCTTCGTATAGACATGGCCCAACGCCTTGATGCACGGGCACTTGCAGCGCGGACATGGCTTGCCGCAGCGCGGCATGATGCCGTCGACCGCACCGTACGCTTCCGTCTGAATGACTTTGACAACTTCCCAGGCCATGGTCGAGCTCAAGCCCGCTGATGGTGTGAGACGAGCGTCCAAAGCGGTCAGACGCGCCTGAAGGCTCTGCGGGACGCTGAGACCATCGCGGCTGGCCGTGAGAGCAAACACAGACGGCCCTTGGTCGTCGCAGTTCATAACGTCCCCCGCGGCCGACGGAAGGCTCTCGATGAGCGCGCTCGTACCGCTGCACTTGAGCCGACTCTGGAGCGTGAGGCGAAGTGCGTGGACAAAGACTTCGCTGCGCTTGCTCACGGCGTCACGCGCGGCGGCACTCGCACTCACAATGCTCTCTTCGACGTCCTGTGCGAGCTTGTTGGCGACGCCGAGGTAGCACTCTTGGACCTTGGCCAATACGAGGCGGCGCGTGACGGCCGCGGCATGTTCGACCGGGTCGTCGATGCGATTGAGCACTATGTCGATCTCCCGCTTCCGCATGAGCTGCAAGAGGTCCATGTCCAAGGCGGCCTGCATCGCGTCAGCAACGCGCACCCAACGCGCGTCCTTGAGTGCCGACGCAACGATACTCACAACTTCTTCTTCAAACGCTTCCAGCAAGTGGAGATCGAGCCACTCGTTCAGCGTCGTCGAGAGCAGCTGCGCAGCTTCTTGACCCTCGCACACGCTCTGCGCAAAGCGATGCATGCTCGGCCGATACGCTTCAAACTTGGCAACGACGCTGTTGATTGTGTCCCAGCGCTCTTGCCGCTGCTGAAGCTCGGTCTTGAGCGTCATGTAAAGCGTGCGGAGGCCGACCCTGAGCTCGGACTGCTTCAGCTGCATCGAGTTGAAAAGACGCTTGACACTCATCACGCAGGAGAGCGCGACATCGTCAGAGTAGCGGTCGACCTCGGCGAGGCTGCTGCACACGCGTTCGCGCACGGCGTCGACGATGTCTTCCTCGCGCGATGCCTTGGCACCCTGCAGCATTTTGCTTGTAAATCGCACGACACCTTGGAGCCAGGATCCATAGTCGTCGTCGCCGGTCAAGAGTCGAAGCTCATCGGGGGTGAAGATATGGTTGCTGTGAATGACGGCACGCACGAGCGTCGGCACTTGTGTGGCGAGCGGCGGCTTGGCTTTGCGCGCCTTGTCCAAAATATCGTCAAAGATGCTGTCAAAAGCCGCCATTGTCTTCTTGGGACCGCACTTGGAGTTGTAGTCGACAATGGCCGTTTGGATTTCCTCCTTGTAGACCTTGGTGATCGCGTCAAACTCAAAGAGGTGCTGGACTTTCGACTGGACGAGGCGCACCAAGTGCGACGCTTGCCGCTGCTTCTTGTCCGTCCACGTATCCTGCGTCGTGGTGGCTCATTTGGCAAACTCGTTTTGGTCCAGCGTCGTGGCCACGACAGCGTCCAGCGTGGCGACCGCGTTCTCTACGTGATGCTCGAGAAGGATCTCGTATTTGCGGCTGCGGCTGGCGTCCGGCGCCTGGTCAGCTGCGCTGTCGGCACTTATCGTTTGCAGCACCGCGTCAAACGTGTCACTGTAGATCTTGGCGAGCTCTTGCGTGTGCCCTGCCATGGCCTGCACGAGCTGGTCGTACACGATACGTTCATGCGCCGACGCAAAGTCCAGCTCAAAGTTGGCGCTCTGAAGATACATCCAGACCAAGTCCAAGCTCTCGCCGAGCTCGCCGAGGGTCCGCGCTTGCCACGCAACATCGTTCGTGGCTCGTGTGTGCATGTGATCACGGAAGCGGACGAGACGGTCGCCAAAGTCGGGCAGCGGCACGTCGTTGGGCGGTGTCGTCTGGCCTTGCGTCAGACCCAGAAACCGAACGTCGCAGCGCGCTTCGTTCGTGATGTCGGTGTGAAAGTCACGAAGGAACATTGTCGTAGTCGACAACTGCGACTGCCGCACGGCAGCGATCTGCTTGGCGCTGCTGCGAAGACTGTCGAGGAGCGCTCGGAGACTCGTGGCCATGCTGCTCGTTTGCGTCACGTCAATCTGGTTGAACGCAAAGTAGAGCTTGGACATAAGATGACCGCCCGAAGCCGCCGCCAGCTCCGAGTTGGCAAAGGCCGAGAGCACGATCGGCAGCACGTCGTTGATCGTGTTGGTCGCTTCGCCCTTGGTCAAGATGATGGTCGCGTCCGCCGGCAAGATGGCCACGGACGCCATGCGGTTGTCGCGCCACACCGTGCCTTCCATACCAACGTACTCGGGCGACTGGGTGCCTTCCGTGTCCAGTAGCAAGATGTAGTCGTACACGGCACCGTTGTCGCAAGCAATAAGCTGGAGGTTGAACCCGCACGTGCACCGAGACACTCTCGTTCGGAGGCGGACGCCAAACATGCAGTTGAGCAGCGTCGACTTGCCCGACGACTGGACGCCCATGACCGAGAGCACAAACACACGGGTGCCTTCGGGAAGCGTCTCGTCCAGGCAGTGCAGCACGGCGCGGATCCACTTGTCATTGAGCATGCCGGCATCGCCATCCATGAGCTCCAGCGGGAAGCCATCAAGTAAGTGCTTGACCGCAAGATGCGGAAGGTTTGCATACGCGTCTGGGTTGGCCGTAAAAATGTGCGAGAGCTCGCGCCAGAGATGCTCGAGGCCGGTGACCATGTTGCTCCACGTCTCGAGGGCCGACGCATACGCTGAGCGCGTGTCCTCGTTGTCGTTGTCGCTGCGAGCTGCAAACGCCCGACTGCACTCGTCGCGCGCAACGGCCGTGATTGCTTCGCAGCTCTCGGCAAGGCGACGTTCAAGGTCGATGATGCGCATCTCGCGGTCTTCAACTGCGGGTAGCCGGAGAACGTGCAAAAAATACTCGAGCAGGGGTGTTCGAGACACGAAGCGAAAGACCTTCTTGTGGTCGGCTGCACTCAAGGCGATCTGCCGGCGAAGCATCTCTTGGTTCGGTACGCTCGTCTCACGCTGCAACGCAATGCGCAGCGCCGACTCGTGTGCAAAACGCCGCTGGAGCACCAAGGTCTCCGTGCGAAGCGTCGTAAAATCAGTGTCGGCCAAGAGGCTTGCCACTCGCGCTCGCAGCAACGGATCGCGCTTGACGAGGCTTGGCAGCGGCAGCTGGTCGACCGGCAGCTTGGGCGCGTCGCTGGGCTCATCCAAAATATACTCGGAAATGCGCTCGCAAGACGACGACATGGGACACGCCAGCGCGACCGACACCATGTGCGTCTTGTCGTCGAGGTACGTATCGTCTTCATCTTCGTCCGAGAGGCGCCAATGGAGCACGGTGCCCCGGGGCAGCGTCATGCGCACGGGCTTGGACACCGTGTCGATGAGCAAGACGTCTGTAAACTGCGTAATGAACGGCGCCAAGGGCATGTAGTCGCCAATGATGTGGAGCACCATGACGGTTGTAAACTCCGTGTTCTCTTGAACAAAACCCCAGCCGAGCTCGGCCACCACCGGGAGGTCCGTGACGTTGTTGCCGTGCGTGCGGTCGAGGCAATGCACCGAGTCGACGTGGAAGACGTTCTTGATCCAGTCCTTTGTCACGCTGCTTTTCGTGGGTCGCTCCGAGATGACGGCAACACGCTTGACCGAGGTGTCGCGCATGAGCGAGGCTTTTCCTTGCACGATACGCGTCTCGACGAGGCTCAGCGCACGTGCTTCGGTTCGAAGTCCATCTTCTGTCGACGGCACGAGGAAGGGCACGAGGCAGCGGCGGTCGAGAAGAAGTCGGTACACCTCGGCACGGGCCGTCGGCGTCAGCGAGGCCACAAGACTCAAGAGCGCATCAAACACCACGGGACTTCGAGGCGATTCATCCCGCGCCCGCCGATCGACGCGCTTGCGTTTGATCCCCGACGTCGTGTTGTAGAGCTCCTTGACCAAGCTCAGACGGTGCTTGATCGTGTATCAAATGAGCCGGGGGAGGTCCGTCGTCTTGTCTGGATTGGCAACGACCGTCAAGAGATGGCTCATGGGCTGCTGAACCTCGATCGTGCTCGACATCGGCTCGTCGGCCTCGGGTACAAACTCACGCGTCACAATGCTGGCCTCGTCGTCCGAGCTGTCGGCCATCGCAGAGCCGTTGAGCGTCAACATCACCTCGTCGGCCATCGCCAGCACATGCTCTGCGCTAAGACTGGTCTCGACGCCATCCTCGCTGCAGCCAAACTTCTGCGCAATGCTCCAGAGTTCGTGGTGGCCCGGCGCGGGAGGAAAGTGGTGTCTCGCGATCAATTCGGCGACGCGGCTCGTCAGCTGCGCGCCGTCCGGCATAGCTGCCTCGAAAAAAGCTCCGTGCACGAGCTTGAGAGCGATCGGGACGTCCCGGGCGTCGAGCTGCGGCACGCTCCACTCGTAAAGAGGCACGAGAAGCTTGTTGACAACCTTCTTGAGCTCGGCCAGCTGCCCGGCACGCTTGAGCGCCTCGTCGACCGTCGCGTCCAGGTTGATACCTGCTTCGGCCAGCACGGTTCCGAGGACGTGCGCGTAGATCGCACCAAGCTCGAGCATCGCCATCATATCGTTGGCCGCCACGAGTCGGCGCAAGGCCGTGTGCAGACGCGGATCTTGCATGCAGTCGACAAGAAACGTCCGTTCAAACTGGGTATCGAAGCGGAGCGCGAGCAAGATGGCGTCGACCAGCGCTTTGCTATCGATGTTGCCGGTGGTCGCCGCGTTGAGCTGTTTGGCGATTATCTGGGCTGCCTTCTTCGCGCTCTTGGCACTTGTGCGCTTGGAGTTGGTGCCAAAGGTGGAATCGTGTAGCCATGCCTCGGTATATACAGCGTGCACTGCCGCCTCGACGTCCGGTGTCATCTCAGATTCCTCGACAAGATCCAACCACGCATCGCACACGAGGGTCGCCGCGCGGTCGCAACCAGCGGCCGCAAGAAGGTCCCAGACGCGGACGCGCGTTGTCGGGTAGTCAATGACGTGCCATGTCGCCCGGTCGAGGGCGAGTCGCTGCTTGAAGATCGCAACGCTCATCGCGTCCGGCCCCGTGCACTCGATCTGCGTCGTAATGTTGCACGGTGTTCGCAGCTCGTCCTCCAGAGTGCTCTCGCACGCGTCGACGCGGCTCTGGTCCGGAAAACTGCTGTAGTTGATCGAAAGGTCGTCCGGTGCCTGGCCGGCTGGACACTTAGCCTTGAGCTGTGCAGTCATCACGTCCACGTCGGTCGAGATGTGGACCGTCTTCCAGAAGATACCGCCGACGTGGAAGATACCGCTGCGCACGTGCGAGCCATAGTCGAGAAGGAAGTCCTTGGCTGTCGCCTCGTCCGTTATGCTTGCGGCCTCGGCCATCGCCGACTCGGTGAGCGGCGCCAACATCGCGGCCAACTCGAACGATTTCAAGGGAGCGCGAGCATAGGTCATGTGCGCGACGGCCGATCCGCGCCGAGGCAGATAGCAGGCGTCAGTAGGTGTCTCTGCGCAACCGTTCGCTTGGACCGTGGCCCCAAAGTCCTTGGCCTCCCCGGCGCTGGCAAACCAGACTTCGATCGTGCCCGTGCTGATCGTGGGTGCTTCGAGCTCGCACTCGGCCGGTGGTTGCAAGATCGCGGTCTCGATGCCTCTGGACGAGCCGGAATACCCAAAGCAGTGGCCGAAAAGGGCAGCACCGCCACTTGCACGAGCAACCACCTGGTCGTCCGATGGCGCATCCTCCACAGCCGAGACTTCGCAGCTCATCTGCGTGAGCATCTTCTCGAGCACGGGGAGACGCTGGAAGAGCGTCGTCGAGTCGCTGAGCATGTCTCGATCAACGATCCAGTACTTCAAGCCCAGCGCGGTCGCATGCTTGTTGAACGGCTCGACCGCGAGGTTGAGCGTATCTTCGTCGGTCGCTCGGATGGCTTCTTGGGGGCGCATGGAGGTCTCGATGGCTAGGCCGAGCGTCTCCCGGAGGTTCCCCTCGTCCTCGGTCGTGGGGCTCATCGGGTGCTAGTTCTTCTCTTCAGCGCGAATTGTGAAATGATTTTCGCGGACAAAATATCCTTGGCATCTGATTGGCTAAAAAGAATCATGACGTGGATCGCTCTCAGGACTGCGCGGATCCAAACCTGGCATTGCAAAGCATCGATGATATCCTGGACTCTAGTCATTGAACAATGCAGTATCGAGACGCTGAAT